CCTGAATTTGGTCTGGGTCACCGCGTAAATAAATGTGTTTGTACAGGTACTCAGAAGCTTCAGCATGTAACCAGTGTGCCACGCAATATACCATAGGGACGTTGGAGGAATATATTTTTGAAATCCTCCAGTATAAGAAATATAGAACGTATGTAACCCATAATAATACAAAACTGGTGGAAATAGCAAAGAGTAAAATGATGGATTTATTTCGATTCTTCATCTCTGGATCACTGTCGCTCACATCTCTATTCTTGTCCCCATTACTGATTTCCCGCAATCTCCTTCGGGCTCGACTGGCCACGAGTATGTGCCTGACAGTCAGGGAGTTGAGCAGCAAAATAATAATGAATGGGAGAATTGGGGTTAAAGTGTAATGAAATGTGTCAAACGCTGCCCATACCCGAGAAGTGTAATAGCTTGGTTTAGGTTCGCACCCCCATGGTATGTTATTAACTATGTACTGTGCCTCAACTACAAAACCCCAGGGAATGTTTACCACAAAGGAAATCACACTCAATATCGCTATCACTGCAGCAGATGTTTTTTCGGAACAATATTTTGTTTTCAGATTTTGGCAACAGATGGCCACATATCGATCAAAGGTAAAAGCCACAGTTAACCAGACAGAAATTGATGAACCTGACGCAGCCAGGACCATTAATGTTCCACACACAGGTGTGATCAACACGAACGAAATTCGGAAATAAGAAGGAATAACTCGATAGAGAATCACTGATATGATAATCACCATCAGATCAGTCACTGACATGGACACCAGATAGTGAGTGATACATTTGGAGAGACCGCACCGCCCTCGAGACAGGATCACAATCGACACGAGGTTCGCTACAGAGAGAGTGAAAGAGAAATAACCATCACAATGCAACAACTTGTACATAATCCGTTGCTACAATTGACATAGTGTAAATCGAATGCAATGGACTTGGTGCTGGCAAAATCTCTCCCAGCTCAAATCCTAATCTTTTGGATTCAAAGCGAGAAATCTGTCTCGCAACGACTCAAATACAGTAAAACAGAGAGAGACAGATACAGATACACATAAACAGAAAGATACAGAGACAAACAGACAGTCACAGAAACACATACTGAGAGAGCAAGAAAGAGGGGAGAGAGTTACGGAGACAAAGATAGTGAGACTGAAACATACAGAGACAAACAGACAGGAAAACAAATTCAGAGAAACAGATGGACAGAGAAAGAAAGACAGATATAACAACTGGAAAAAAAGTTGCATTCATATAGCGCCCTTAGCGCCGCATGCAATGCTTATGCTTATACAAACCTTCAACACATCGCTATGGGTATGTTGTCCTGGCCTGGTGTAACGGAAAATAGTAGAGCAAGGATAGCAAGAGAAATTGTCAATACTTTCAAACCAACAACAGGGGATACATTCACACCAACACAGACACAAAGAGAGATAAGGACACACGAAAACTGGTGAAAAAACACTCAGAAAGACACAGAGAGATACACCGCACAGATAGAGAGACATAGACCCAGGGAGAAACACAGAGATTCATAGAGACAGAGATAAACTCGCACAAAGGGATAGACACACTCAGAAAGAGACAGATATACACATAGATAGAGAGACAGAGACACAGACAGAGAGGTACACTCACACATGCAGAGAGAGGTACATATAGACAGCAAGAGAGAAATACACAGAAAGAGATATACAGAGACAAAGAACCACTCAATGACAACATTTCAAACGAATAGTGCCTTTAACACCGAGAGAACGCCCTAAACACAGAGAGAGAAACGGAGATATACAGAGACGGAGTGAGATTGGCAGATCAATACACTCGGACTGGAAGAGAGACAGAGAGATAAGGAATTCTTGCATTCGATTCAATGCCTTAACATGTTGTTCTGACGTCTCAAAATGGTTCACAAAATACCCTGTAAATTGATAGTGCTCTAACCACTGAGCTACAGTAGTGTATTACTTTATATATATATATAGCACTATATAGACTGACCAAAATATCATACAACGCCATCCGGCGACATCCAAACATCTCAAAGCATTTGACCAGATTTCATGGCAATGACTGTAATTTTGGCCAAAGGCGGCAGCTGAACTGTGCACAAACCGCCATGAAGTGATTTATCAAGTTTATCTCGGAGATTGCTGCCCCACACACCCCATGAAATTCCTTTTCTTTTTGTATTGTGCCGCACGTCCTTTAATATCTAAAGAGGAAAGTCGGAGTTTTCTTATTAAGTTCTTATTCAAATCGCGGCTCCTCCAACAAGGGTCAATATCCCGACATGTGTCTGGGATCCACCCCTTTCTGATTGAGAGGGGAAAGTGCTACGAGCGAAATCAGGCAACAATCTTTACTTTACTGCCCACTCATCTCACTAATGAATTGGTTAAACCACTTGCCAGGAACTCCAAATGCGGCGAGAATCGGATAGTAAATTTGTTGTATCCTGTGTATTAGCGCAATTGCCATCCTCACAGAGAACTCTTCTCGGTACAGACAGGAGCTCACACTAACAAGATGATATTAATTGGCAAAACACACAGTGGGATTTATACCAACGTGAACACTTCATTGAGCAGATTTACTGCACGAACATGGCTGGTTTTCAGTGATGTGGAAAACGTGAACTCTCCTGAGCCGTGCAACGTAACTCAGTTATTTATTTATAGCCAAATTATTGCTTGTTGTCTCCTCCATGCGGAAAAACCATCGCCATGGTTTCAACACCGGAAAGGCTACCCTATATGAAGGGCACCATACGAATTCTAATTCATAGAATCATAGAATGTTATGGCACAGAAGGAGGCCATTCGACCCATCGAGTCTGTGCGGCTCTTTGACAGAGCAACTGACTTTTATTAACCCCACTCACCAGCTTTCTCTCCATAACCCTGCAAACCTGTCTTCTCCAGATACCTATCCAGTTCTCTCTTAAAAGCTGTTATCGAATCGGACTTCACTGCCTTTCAGATCATTCCAAATTCTAACAACTCGCTGAGTGAAAAAAAATTCTTCTAACCTCCCCTCTGCTTCTTTTGGTAGATATCTTAAGACTGTAACCACGAGTCACAGACACACCTACCAGTGGAAACAGCTTTTCCTTATCTCGCCTGTTGAAATCTTTCATGATCTTGAAAACCTCTATCAGGTGCCCGCGTAACCTTCTCTGCTCTAATAGGAAAAGTCCTAACTTTTCCAGCCTGTCCTCATAGCTAAGCTTCCCCATTCCTGGTATCATTCTCGTGAATCTCCTCTGCACCCTTTCCAGTGCCTTAATATCCTTCCTGAGGTAAGGTGCCCAGAACTGGACGCAGTACTCCAGCTGAGGCCTAACCAGTGTTTTGTATAGATTAAGCATAACCTCCTTACTCTTATACACTATGCCCCTCCTAATGGAGCTCAGTACACCAAATGCCCTTTTTACTGCCCTATCTACGTGCTCTGCCACCTTCAATGAATCGCTTACTTGAACGCCCAGATCTTTCTGTACGTTGACTCCCCCTTAAGATTGAGCTAGCAAGCCTATATTGTCTCCTATCATTTTTCCTATCTAAGTGTATCACCTCGCACTTATCTACATTGAAATCCATCTGCCACATGTCAGCCCTTTCCACCATTCTGTGTATGTCTGCCTGCAGTCCGTCACAATCTTCTTCACTATTTACTACCCTACCGAACTTGGTATCATCTGCAAACTTGGAAATAGTGCTCCCTATGCCCAAGTCCAGATCATTAATATATATTAGAAAGAGCAGGGGTCCCAATACCGATCCCTGGGGGACACCGCTGCACACCTCTTTCCATTGCGAGAAACACCCATTAACCACAACACTCTGCATTCTGTCACTCAGCCGGTTCCTAATCCAAACGGCTCCTGTCCCCTTAATACCGTGGGCCTCCAGTTTTTTTATTAACCTCTTATGCGATACTGTGTCAAAAGCCTTTTTAAAATCCATGTAAATAATGTCAACCGCATTAGCCTCATCAACCCTCGCAGTCACCTCTTCAAAAAATTCTATTAGATTTGTTAGGCAAGATTTGCCTTTAACAAATCCATGTTGGCTGTCTCTAATTACCTCGTGTTCCTCTAAGTAGAGATTTATTTTGTCTCGGATTACGGTCTCCAGTAGCTTTCCTATTACCGAAGTTAGGCTGACTGGCCTGTAATTTCCGGGCTTGTCCTTCTGCCCCTTTTTGTAGAGTGGGGTAACATTAGCTACTTTCCAGTCTCTTGGCACCACTCCTGTGTCCAATGGTGATTGAAATATAATGGCCAAAGCCTCCGCTATTTGAACCCGTATCTCCCACAACAACCTTGCATGAAACCCATCTGGTCCTGGTGACTTATCAATTTTGAGCCCAGTCAATCTTTTCATACCCTCCTCCCCACCACCGGAAGAAGTGCTTTCAGTCACCATGCCCCAAACTCTGGAACGCTTTCCCTCAATCTCTCCATCTTGCCGCGTCTCTCCCATTTTTCAAATTCCACCCGAAAACCTTCTTTTTCGACAGCGTTTATGACCAACTCACCTCTACCCGCCGCCAGACTTGTAGTCAAGCTCCGCACTGTTAATATCTGAGACCCTGCCAGCCACCGGGGCGATAGAGAGTGAGAGAGAGCCCTAGAGAGGCAGAGAGAGAGGCAGAGTGCCTGAGATAGAACGAGAAACATAGAATGGCAGAGAGAGAGACTCAGAGAAGCAGAGAGGGAGGCAGTGACACAGACCTTGAGAGACATAGTAACAGAGAGAGACAGAGATACTGAACAACAGTGAGAGAGAGAGTCAGAAATAAAGAGATATGGAGAGAGACACCTCAGTATAGACACCTGATATTAAAAGTGACACAACTTTGTAGACTGTCCCGGCCTGTGACACCGCAGTCCGGAGTCTCCTGGATCTGCTCCTCATTCTGTGTCGTGTCTCACATCTCATCACAGCCAATCCTGACATCACAGCCTCACACGTCACACGGAGAGATTGTACATCCGTCCATTTTATTGTGATACCAACACAACACAAAACAAAATGACATTTGTGTATAGTGCCTTTCACATCAGGAGGACGTCCCGGGTAATAAAGGGTTAAATCACGAGGGCAGGTTACCTAAACTTGGTCTCTACTCCCGTCAACTTAGAAGGACGAGGGGTGATCTAATTGAGGATTTTAAAATAATAAAGACATTCGATAGTGTAGACAGAGAGAAACTTGGTCCCTTGTTGGGGGAATCCAGAACAAGGGGGGCATCATCTTAATATTAGAGCCGGGCCATTTAGGGGTGAAATTAGGGGCAGTTTTTCACCCAAAGGCCAATGGGAATCTGGAACTCTCTACCCCAAAAGGCTGTGGATTATGGTTGGATCCATTCACATTGTCCGGACGGAGGTGGGGAGATGTTTGTCAGGTCGGGGTGTTAAGGGATACGGGGCAAAGGCCGGTAACTGGGGTTGATGTACAGATCAGACGTGACCTTATAGAATGGCCGAACAGGCTCGAGGGGCTGAATGGCCTTCTCCTGTTTCTATGTTCCTACGTCACCTCCACTCTCTGCCCAGTAACCCCCGAACGCTCTCTCTGATTGATCGCCCTCACCCCTGTCAGGGGTCAGTGTCAGGTCGGTGCCCAGCCATGTGCTGAAGTAAGGGAAGATTTTTCCAGTGAACGTGTGGGTGAAAGTGAAGAGATGAGACATGTGGTCGGCGTCGTACAGCGACACCTGTCCTCCCGCATAGTCCAGGTACACGCCCAGCACCCGGGGGCTCACACTCAGGGGGAGAGGGGGTAGAAGGTGAGGTAAGAGCTTCATATTCCCCATTGTACAGCTCCACAGCCCAGACTCCAGCCTCAGGTCCAGGTGTGAAACTCTCCTTCCTGGGCACAGACTCTCGGGCCACCCCCACTATCCAGTATGTGCTGCTCCACACCCCCACCTCCCAGTAATGTCTCCCTGATGTGAACCCCTCAGATCCCAGGACACTGGGCCTGTGACTGAACCTCTCCATGGTCAGGAACCTGCTGATTTCTGCACCATATCTCACTCGGGTCCGGTCCTCAGACAGGATGAGCCGGGGATGGGCTGTGTTTGGATCCAGAGTCAGAGAGGCTGGAGCTGAAACAGAGAATGTTGACATGTTGGAGATCGTGTGGTGAACGGTTGACATTATATTTCAATGGTTCATTCAGTGAGGGTTGGATTCCTGCTCTGTGTGTCTCAGGTTACACGTGGGACACCAGTAATGTCTGGCTGTGACCCGGGGCCCAGCCACCGCAGGGCTGAGGTGGGCTGAGCTCCCAATGATCTTATTTAGCATTCCCGACTAAGGGATGAGGAATGAAAACAAGACATTTACACCACATCTATTCCCAAAGTCAGACTCAGATCACAGGAACACAGTAAGAGCCAGTGTTACCTGCAGTGATGCCCTTTAACAACCGTTTCCACTCTCTGCTCTGCAGAGGCCCAGTGAGCTCCCCCTCAGCCACATCAACAGACACTTTTGTGGGTTTCTTGATGTCAACACCAGACCTGGGCACAGATAGAGATTTGTTTAGTTAAACTCAACATCGATGACACAGTGGAGATTTTCACCATCGCCACCATTGTGGAATCCTATAGCTCAGTAGTTAGAGCACTCGCCTGACAAGCCAGAGGACCCTGTTTCAATTCCCGGGTAGGACGAAACATTATGTATGTTTCCTTACTTCACACGTCAGTATGTTCCTTCTTACACCGAGCAATTAGTAACCCGTTTGCTAGTCGATTGATGGAGCAACTTTCCAGCAGTAATAATCCCATGAAAAAAAATTGAGTTGGGACACTGCAGGGCGAAATTTTCTGATGTGTTTGTCCCTCAAAATATACGGTCAGTTCCCTTTTCAGTACACAACAACAACCACAAGATTCCATTTATAGAGCGCCTTTCACGTCGGGAGGACGTCCCAAGGAGCTGTACAGTTGGGTCAGGACACGAGCAGTGGGGAAATGGTCAGGGTGAGGGGAAGGAAGGGAGGGAGCGAGGAGTGGGTAGTATATTCTACTAAGAGCTTTTAGACATCTCAACGTTGCGATAAAGTTCTCTATGGAATGATAGGATTATTATCGTCATCACAATTTCCTGGAGAATTTGAAGATAGACTGGACAGATATAATGTTATGAGCTCTCACACACATATGTTTCTCTGTAACTTATATCACTTTCTGTTACACACTGGGATTAGGGAACGTCACGAACAAGAGGGATGTAAGAAAAGATTACATACCTGTCAATGATGGATTTGATGTCCTACAAAGGAAATGAAAACAAGGAGAGTGAGAGTCCATCTTGCACACAGATCGAGACGACCTTAAACGGGTATTAGATGGATTGCTGTTGTGGTTCGTGTTAAATTGAGATAAACTGATAACTCATCCCTCCTACGCAACAGGTCTCAGGAGTGGTGGGTTAGGCATCAATACATAAAGCAATGTGGCCAGAATAATGACAACATGATGACTTAAATGGTCGTGAATGTTAAGCCAGTGTCGTGTTATCGGAAGTGTACTGTTTTAGTGAATTAAAACTAAATTTCTGATGTGAGTCACACAGATTGTATTAAGTAACCAATCACTTCACTTCAAAAATCATCCTTCACCCCTCGTCTATATATCTTTATAAATTCAGCTTTAACACCATAAACTATAGATCTATCACACCAGACACACACCAGCATTAACTCACTCACTGTCTGTCCATTAAACCAATAGTAACACATTCATTGTCTGTCTATCACACCAGACATACGGCCTATGTACCTTCAGGAATTCGGTGTTCTGTAGAGTCAGTCTTGTCTGGATTTCCGCTATTCTCTGGTTAATAGAAGTAATTTGCTTGGAAATGTCACTCTTATTGTTTTCTATTTGTCCTAAGATGGCCTCCTCCTGCTCTCTGAGTTTGGTGATAAGGTCTTGATGCTCCTCAGTCAGCAGCGAGTCACGTTGAGCAAATTCAGCGTCGATGTTCTTCCTCAGACGCTCGGCTTGTCTCTGTCACAATAAACACAAGTTTAAAGTTACCCGACACAAGAACAGGGGCTCGGCCTGTCAGTCACGGTTACATTGCCCGTGAACCTGGTGATATCCTCCTGAGGGGGAGGGTAGCGAGGTCTCCTGAACTGAACTGGCTCCAAGGTGACCTGCCTGGCAATGAAATGCCGGCATCGAGCAGGGACTCTGTGACGGTCTCTTGTCCAGTTCCTGAGCCAGGCCGGTCCACAGTATCCCAGGCACTGCTGATAACAGCACAGCCCAGACTGGCTCATCGACAGGACCTGGATAGGCAGACGAGTCACTGTGGTCAGTGAGTAAACCTACTCATCTCCTGATAACCCTGCAATATCAAGCCATAACTGATAGGGTGTTCCTGGCTGGAGACAACAATATCAATGGGATGGGCTCAGAGTTGATATTCCAACCCCTCACCTCCACTTCCAGTTGAGTAGCTCCTTCTTCTCTCTGACATTGGGTCATTTCATCCAACTGTTTATGAAGAGTTTCCAGTGCTTCCTGCAGCTTTTGCTGAAAGAAAGTGAATGTACATTAACAGTGAGAAGGGACAGTCATTGTTACTAATTCAGCATATTCCACATGTGTGACAGGGCTGTAATATTCCATTCCACTCCATCAACACAGCAAGATTCTGGGAACACAACCTTCTGACCCAGAGGTCGGTGAGATTGCTGCTCCGTGACCAACTGTACACAATATCATGTCTTTACCAATATGTCACATAGAGTGTAACAGCACATTGACAAAGCTTCATCTGCTCGACTAAACTTTAACTTGGTCATCAAACCAATCTTTCATATTCAACAACTGGTTCAGTTGATCAGATTGTGGCCTCTGAGTCAGGAGGTTTTGGGACATTGTGTGCAAATCGGCAGCTATGCTCACAGTCAGGTCACTTTAGGGTTCCATAAACCTGGTCTGTATTCCCTTACTTTGGAAATTTGAGGGGTGATCTGATTGAGGTGTTTAAAATAATACAGGATTTCAGTAGAGTAGCTACAGAGACAGTATTTCTTCTGGTGATGGAATCCAGAACAAGTGGCATGATATTACAATTAGAAGAAGGCCTTCATAAGCGAAATCAGGACGCATATTTTTCGACACCGAATGATGTGGAAATCTGGAAATTTACCCCCAATAGTCAGTGGATTAATATTGAGGTGGATAGATTTTTGTTAGGTCAGGGTTTCAAGGGATATGGGGCAAAGGTGGTGAGTTACAGTTGAGGTACAGATCAGCCATGATCTAATAGAATGGCAAACAGGCTTCAAGGTCTGAATAGTCTTTTCTTGTGCCTATGTTCCTATGTTTACAATGTATTCTGAAGCACTTTCAGACATCATCCCGACGCTGTGTGAAATGTCAGGATTAATATCAATTCCACGACTTGTGGAGCTCAGCAGCTTCCTTAATGGGAATGACTGTGTGATCCTTGTGATCACGGGACATCGCACAGACCTCACAGATCGCTCTTTGATCCATTTCACAAAACAGTTTCAGCTTCTCCTCATGCTCTTCACACTGGATTCCCACCTCTTCCAGCCTCGGATTCAGGCTCAGTTTCTGAACACTCTCCACCATGTTAGACAGAGTTCGGTTGGGCCGAACACCCCTCTGGAGAATCTGCTGCCTGCACTGTGGAGAGGACACACTTCCTTGCCCTGTGCCCCAACACTATAAAATACAGTCTCTGCAGAGGTTGTGGCCGCAACCTATATTCAATGGATCCGTGTAAAACTCCAGAGAGATTGAACAAGGAATTTCCTATCTCAGGTTCTTCAGTTCCTGCACAGACGCCATTTCAACATCAGCTCTTTGCTCTGTTTGGGACTTTCACCTTAACCCAAACCAACAAGTGGCTCTGTGGGTGGGGATCACAGACCAGCTGCTGTTTGAAGGGACAGACACCTGAAGGCAAAAGTAACACAGATGTTAAGCACATTCGGCCCATTTGTACAGTCGCATCTCAGTATGTTTAACAATTGCACTGATAGATATTCAGCTGGGGAAAATGGGAGGGGACCATTGGCTCGGTTCAAGAGGAAAGTGATCAGTGTAAAGAGTGGCAAGGCTGATGGACTGAGGAATGGGTTCGGGTAAAGTACTTGGCATTGTTTTTCAAGAGCCAAGGCTTGAAGTCCCCAAAAACAGTAACAACAGCTTGCAATTATATAGCGCCCTACATGCGTATTAGGTTAGCCTGTTAGAGCGCTTAACAGCGGCGGAGTTTGACTCCGAATTCAGGGAAGGGTGAGGTGACCGTAAGCACAGTCGAACACGAAAGTCATCATGTGGGTCTTGAAAGTGGGGAGAGAAGGGGCAAGGCAGAGGCTTGAGGGAGAATATTCCATAGATTTGCTGCACAGTGGCTGAAAGCACGACCTCCGATGGTGGGGCAGAGGGTGGTGCGAGTGATGAGTGGGAGGCCGGTGCCAGTCGAGCAGAGGTGTTTCACATAGGTAGGGAGGTGCTGGGGATTGAATGGATTTGAACACGAAAGTGAGATCTTGAAGTCGATCCTTTCGATGAAGGGGAGGCAGTGGAGCCTGGGCCAGAACTGGTGAGATGTGTGTATGGAGCTTCGTCCAGGTCCATCTTTGGGCAGGAGATTTGTGAATGAGTTGCATCTTGTGAATGATGAAGATGGAGAGGTGAGACGTGCGTTGGAATAATCCAGGCGGGAAGTGAGAGCACGTTGCCGGAATCTAACGAGCTACAACCAAACAATTTATCGTAGAAAAGACTGTCTGGGAATCGAATCCCCAGGACTACACTACCCACATTGGCTTTGGCTTGCAGAGTTAATAATAATAGTAATCCTTGTATATGATGCAGGGCTCCACTCAGCTCAACTCGTTTAGCTCAGCTTCTCTCAGCTCAGCTCCCCGCTCCTCAGCTCCCCGCACCTCAGCTCCCCTCACCTCAGCTCCCCTCAGCTCAGCTCCTCACAGCTCAGCTCCCTTCAGCTCAGCTCTCCTCAGCTCTGCTGTTCTCAGCTCAGCTCCCCAAAGCTCCCCTCAGATCTGCTTCCCTCTGCTCAGCTTCCCTCAGCTCAGTTCCACTCAGCTCAGCTTCCCTCAGCTCAGCTCTCTTCAGCTCATCTCGCCTCAGCTAAGCTCCCTTCAGCTCAGCTCCACGCAGCTCAACTTCCCTCGGCTCAGTTCCCTCGGCTCGGCACCGCGCACCTCAGTTCCCCTCAGCTCAGCTCTCCATGGCTCAGCTCTCCATAGCTCATCTCACATCAGGTCAGCCCCCTTCAGCTAAGGTCCCCGCAGTTCAGCTCCCCTCAGCTCAGCTCTCCATAGCTCAGCGCCCCTCAGCTCAGATCTCCATTGCTCAGCTCCCATCAGCTCATCTCCCTTCAGCTAAGGTCACGCAGCTCAGCTCCCCTCAGCTCAGCTCCCCTCAGCTCAGCTCCCATCAGCTCAATACTCCACAGCTCAGCTCTCCACAGCTAAACTCTCCGCAGCTCAGCTCCCCTCAGCTCAGCACTGAAATGTTCAGCTCTCCATAGCTCAGCTACTCACAGCTCAGCTCCCATCGGCTCAGCTGAGGAAGCTTCCCTCAGCTTACTCCTCAGCTCAGATCACCTAAGCTATCCTCAGCTCAGCTCCCCTCAGCTCAGCTTAGTGTAGCTCAGGAGACCTGTTACACCAGAGGTGAAGGGCTCAGCACAAGAATTGGAACCCGTGGGTATAAAAAGCACAATTCTTGCACTTGATGTAGCATTTGATCCCATCTTCAAGACGTCTCAAATCGCTTCACAGAACGTACTGTAAAATGAATTTAATGACCACAACCGCGAAGAAATCGTAATAATAATCCTTGCATTTGATATAGCACCTAATCACATCTTTGACATGTTTCAAAGCTCTTCACAAAATATGAAATAAATTGACGATATACTTTGTGGGTGATATGCAGCAGCCAATTGCACACAACAGTATTCTACAAACAATCGTGAATTGACTGACTAGATTTTATTTATTGTTAAAAAATTTAAAGAATTGTAAAGATTTTTATCCCCGGAAAAACAATCCACCGATCGACTAACTAAATTGTTTCTACTTACTGGTCGGTAGACAGAAGTATGTCGAGTCAGGAAAGTTGCCCAATGTTTCGCCCTACCTGGGAATCAAACCCAGGCCCTCTCGCTTGTGAGGCGAGTGCTCATAACCACTACACTGAAGGACTCCACAATAATGCAATTCAACTTCATTTTATGATTCAACAGCCAATGAATACAGCATCATGTAGCCTTTAAGGAACATCTAAAGCAAATAAAGAGTCAATAATTAACAGGGATTGAGAAGCAATCAATTCCTCTTCGCTGAGACTGGGATCTTTCTGAATGCTTTCATTCAGTGTAAATTGGACTCCATTATATTTAAATATTAATATTATTAACCGAATGGCACCATTTTATCTTTCCCTAAAAGTACAAGTAATTTGAAATAAGATGGGTCTTATGTTACTCCCTCCTTTTAAGGAGGGAAAGATTGAGATCATTCAGCCTCATCCAACCTTCCTGAGCCAAAGTCTGGAGACCCACCCGCAGTTAGTTTACAGGAAAATATCCACAAAAGACAACATTGTGTATTGGCCTTGATAAGGTTTTACTGACTGTTGCACAGTGAGGTTCAAAGAGCAGGAACATGAATTGGCAGGTTACTAAAATGTAACACAGGGAAAGTTGAAGTGGGAGATGGTAATGTTACACTGGTGTTGGTCTGATGATTGATGATTGGTACCGCAAACTTTATTCATGCACAGAAACTAGAAATAGTGTAAAAACTCCTGAATTTAACGGAGTTCCAATAAACCCGCCCCCTCCGCCCCACTTTTTACACGTCTGACAATGTTACACACCTCTTGCACTCCCATTGCTGTATCAGTTAACAGTGTATGAGTTCAGATTCTGACTTAGGGTTGAATGCACAGCCTTCTGATACGGTGGAGAGGACTACCACTGAGCCAGGCTGTCACATCCTGCACCTGACCCCGCAGCGTGCAGACTGTGCTCACACTCCTTGATTAATCTCCACTTTTGTGCAATAAAACAATTCATTTCACCCTTTACAGTTGCTTTTACAATCAGCAACTTGTTCAGCCTGTTACGGTAAAAACAGTTATCTTCCCCAATCACTGGGCTTCC